CAGCGGGTCAAAGTACGTCGACGCCGTCTGGTGTTGGTGGCAGTATCGCTGTCACCGGTGGCATCGGAGTTGCAACTGGCGGTGCTGCTCAAGTTACTTCCGGATCGAGTTCCGCCGGCTCGTCAGGCGTTTTGACATTGGCATCGGCTGCTTCCGGCACTGCTGGTGCCAGTGGAAGCGTGGCGTTGTCAAGTGGTTCGTCGTATGGTACCAGTGGTTTACTGACGATCGCAAGTGGCTCCTCATCAGCCGGAGCGGGCGGTGCCGTCTCAATTTCGGCCGGCACGGGCGCGGTCGGCGTCGGTGGAGCTGTGGCCATTGTCGCAGGCCAATCTGGCAACAACTATGGGGGGTCCTTGACTCTAACATCGGGGACAGGCTCAACATCGTCCAGCGGCAGCGTGTACATCAGTAGCGCGGACGCTGGAACGACAGGCGGCTCTGGCCTTCTCAGCTTTACCTCGGGTACATCGACAAGCGGCAACACCGGCAATTTGGTCTTTGGCACCGGTTTGGCGACGTCAGGGTATGGTGGCTCGATTGTGATGTCCGTGGGCTCCGGCAATTTGGGAACCGGCGGCAGTGTATTCATTACAGCCGGTGCGGGAACACAACCAACCACTGGTGTCGGTGGTGACGTTCTCCTTACGGCCGGCTCTGGCATCGCCACTGGCGGTGCTTTAGCTCTTACGTCGGGGGCGGCCAAGGTCTCGGGCTCTGTGTCGATTGCAACTGCGTCCAGCTCCGCAGGTTCCAGTGGTAGTGTCACAATCTCAAGCGGTACAGCCATTGGCGGCTCGAGCGGTGCCGTGTCGATCAACAGCGGCACCTCGACTTCTGGCGGCACTGGTGGCGCCGTCACCATCTCGGCTGGCAGCGGTGCGACAGGCGTTGGTGGCTCAGTCTCCCTTGCGGCAGGATTGTCCAAGGACAACTTTGGCGGCTCGTTGACGCTGCAGTCAGGCGCTGGCAGTGCGACATCAAGTGGCAGCGTTTCGATCATGACTGCTGCCGGTGGTACAAGTGGTGTGAGCGGCTCGATTTCTCTTGCATCGGGCTCGACAACAGCTGGCAGCAGCGGTGCGATCCGGCTCTCGACGGGCGCTGCTACAAGTGGCGCTGGCGGAACCATTTCCCTCGTTGTTGGCTCGGCAACGTCTGGTGCGGGTGGTAGTATCTCACTTACCGCTGGCTCAACAACCGCTTCAGCGCTTGGTGGGGCTCTCACTTTGACAGCGGGTGCAGGCAATGGTGTCGGTGGCAGCGTCCAAATCGCGGCCGGTGCATCAACAGCGACAGCCGG